CTGGATTCTTGTCTGACTGCAAACTTTAACTGTCAGGAAAAATCTCTGAAAAAGTGAAAATGTAGCAGACACCACGCCTATGGCTTTAAGCCTGATGCCCTCCAGATAAACACCTGCTGGTGAAAGCCAAGCACAAAAGGCTTCAATCAATTTTTCTTATCAATGCATCTTTTTCTCTTGGTGGACTAATAATACAGTAGTACTGTGTGAAAGCATTGAGCTACCTGTAGTTTCTTTATGTTTAGCTAGGAAAAAGGGAAATATGTGCATTGAATTGTGTGCAAACGTACATGGAAATAGACGATATACTGCAAAAAGAGTTTGCACAACTCTAATGACCTTGAACATCAACACAGCCTGCAATCTTTTTTATAATGTCTCCAAATAGTGTTCAGGAATATCTCTTCGAGCTTCTTGAAAGACAAGCTCTTTTTTGTATGCTGGCTGCCTTTTGTCCTGTTCTTTGTCATCACACTGCATTGGTAGTACATTATGAATAATTGGGCCTCATTTGCTAACATTCTTACCCTGTGCAAAAAAATGAAAATAAATAAAAAAAATCCCAGCACACAAAAATACTGTCAGATTTATGAAACATGCGTACCCATATATTTTGTTCTCAGCACAGTGCATATGTCATAAATTTAAATTGCTTGGAACCAATAGCTTTGTTACATATGTACACTGCCCCACCCCAATTTCTAAACTAAAAATAGGCCACGACATAAAAATACTGTCAGATTTATGAAATTTTTGTTTTCACCCTCGTGTGTATGTCAATAAATCAGAATTGTTTGGAACCAACAGCCTTGTTGAGATAAGATAAGAGATCATGGAATATGTTTCAATTGACAAATGTTTCATGGTCACAGCTGCAGTGATGCAGATGTGACCATGTGACCATGTGCTGGTCTGTTGTGGTGAAGAGAGAGCTCAGTGTAAAAGTAAAGCTGTTGATTTACTGGTCGATCTGACCAGTGGTCACCAGCTTTGCGTAGCGGCTGAAATAAGTCCTCCAAAGGGTGGCTGTGCTTTCTCTAAGTGATAATATTTTGTTTTCTTTATATGCTTTTCATTGTAATTCTGAGCATTTTATGGTTTATAGTGTTTTGGCAATAACAACAATAACTGTAGTTAATATTGTTATTATTATTAAAAATAGTAGTAGTACTTAATTTTAGAGACTCGTGTTTAAATTCCTGAGGCAGCCAGGCTGCCATTTGTTTGTTTTTCATAATTCCAAAAATGCTAACATCAGTGGCTAAAATGCAGCCTCAGACCATGACAGAACCCCCAAGATCTCTCCTCTGTACTGATGAACATTTTAACCAAAAATGTAAAATCTGGACTTTATGTCCACCTTTTATGTAATTTCAGACAAACTGTATCTGTTCTAAATGTACTGTCATTTATATATATTGATAATTCAAACATATAAATATATATTTTATACTCACTGTTCGCCATCGTCTCAGTTATTGGAGGAATCACAGCAGTTTCAGGTTTGGAAAGCAACAGCTCGGCTCTGAAAACGGAGTAGAGAATTCTGTAGCCTCCTGCCTTTTAAAGACCCAAAGATACAGGCTCTGACCTACTTAATGAGAAAAAAATTCTTGCTGAAACAGGTTTTTGAAAAGACATCCTTCTTTCAAAAAATGTGGTCCAACAATCTGTTTCAGGAGGAATGTTTTCTACAGTTTGTTGGGCAAGTTTTTTCAAAGAGAGACATTTTCCACTTTCTTTGCTTCACCTGGAGGTGTTGTTATTTATTTTGCACAGAGTAGGAACGTTTCCATGCAAATGTTAGCAAATGAGGCCCAATTATTCCTAAAGAACAAGACAAAAGGCAGCTAGCATCCAAAAAACTGCTTTGAAAACTAGACATTATAAGAAAAATTGCAGGCTGCGTTTGCACACAATTCAATGCACATATTTCCCTTTTTCCTAGCTAAACATAAAGAAACTACAGGTAGCTCAATGCTTTCACACAGTACTACTGTATTATTAGTCCACCAAGAGAAAAAGATGCATTGATAAGAAAAATTGATTGAAGCCTTTTGTGCTTGGCTTTCACCAGCAGGTGTTTATCTGGAGGGCATCAGGCTTAAAGCCATAGGCGTGGTGTCTGCTACATTTTCACTTTTTCAGAGATTTTTCCTGACAGTTAAAGTTTGCAGTCAGACAAGAATCCAGATGAGTTTGATATTCTAAGAATGAATACCAGACGACAAACAACCATATCACCAAACCAGCTCAGCTAGTTCTACTTAAACAGATAAACTTTAGTTTTAGTTATTAACAAACTGTAAGTGTGATGAGTTGAGAGTTAATACAAATCAATTGAATTGAATTTTTAAAAATTTTATTTCATTTTATTTTCATATTGTCAAAATTAAGGCACTTTATACTTTACACGCTTTATATTGAAAGGTAAAGAGCCTATAAAACAGAGTGGAGAAAAAAACAACAACAACAAGCAGACAACCCACTATGAGCAAGCACTTGGTGACAGTAGTAAGTAGGTCAGATCCTGTAATTATATATTTTTAAAAGGCATATAAAGGAAAACAAAATACTATCACTTAGGGAAAGCACAGGGGACGTATCGACCAGTAAATCAACAGCTTTACTTTTATGCTGAGCTCTGTGTTCACCACAACAGACCGGTGCGACATCTGCATCACTGCAGCTGTGACCATGAAGCATTTGTCAACTGAAACATATTCCATGATCTCTTGTCTTATCTTGTCTCTCATTTCACCCCTTTCTTTGCTTCACCTGGAAATAAACGTGTCGTTATACAGAGAAATTGCTGTGGGGCAGTATACAGATTCAACAAGGCTGTTGGTTCCAAACAATTCTGATTTATTGACATACACACAAGGGTGAAAACAAAAATTTCATAAATCTGACAGTATTTTTATGTCGTGGCCTATTTTTAGTTATACTCTTTGCACAGGATAAGAACGTTCCCACGCAAATGTTACCAAATGTGGCCCAATTATTCCTAACACACTACCAATGCAGTGTGTTGACAAAGAACAGGACAAAAGGCAAAAAAGAGATTTGAATGTCTTTCAAGAAGCTTGAAGAGATATTCCTGAACACTACTTGGAGACATTATAAGATTGCAGGCTGTGTTGATGTTCAAGGTCATTAGAGTTGTGCAAACTCTTTTTGCAGTATATCGTCTATTTCCATGTACGTTTGCACACAATTCAATGCACATATTTCCCTTTTTCCTAGCTAAACATAAAGAAACTACAGGTAGCTCAATGCTTTCACACAGTACTACTGTATTATTAGTCCACCAAGAGAAAAAGATGCATTGATAAGAAAAATTGATTGAAGCCTTTTGTGCTTGGCTTTCACCAGCAGGTGTTTATCTGGAGGGCATCAGGCTTAAAGCCATAGGCGTGGTGTCTGCTACATTTTCACTTTTTCAGAGATTTTTCCTGACAGTTAAAGTTTGCAGTCAGACAAGAATCCAGGTGAGTTTGATATTCTGAGAATGAATACCAGACGACAAACAACCATATCACCAAACCAGCTCAGCTAGTTCTACTTAAACAGAAAAAACTTTCGTTTTAATTGCTGTCCAACTGTCAATGAAATGAACTGAGAATTAATACAAATTAAGTACAACTGAATTTTATTAAATTTAACAATTTTTAGTTCAGTTTGTATCTATTTCTATATTGCCAATCATAACAACTATCATCTTAAGGTTAAACCACCAGTAGAACCAGGATCGGGGAGGGGCAGCTATGTGCTCCGACCAGTTGGTGTTGACGGGAGAAA